TGAGGATATTTTACATCAGCACTGTGGTCGGTGCGAGTCGGGAACAGAATTCGTACCACATTAGATAGAGCACTCACCGTCCAATGAGGTGAACCGGGTTTAAATTCCAGCGATGACTGGTCGATTCGAATTCCGCACCCTGCTCGCACAGACCACAGTGCTGACGTAAAATGTCCTCAGAGGTTGACGAATCATAGGTTAGAGACGGATCTTGGGCTCTCCGTCAGGCTAACAGTGGGAGGTTTTCCTCTCCATCTAACGCAAATGCAGGTTAGTTCCATCAAAAAGTCCTCCACGAAGGCGAATTTCTCCCAATACTAGATCGAGGAGCTCTCTTGTCTTCTGGAATGGGTTCAAATTTACAAAACTACGGAGTTGAACATTGGTAGCCGTAAGCCTAAAATTGGGACAGTGTTCAACGACTGTTATAAAATAATATAAAATCAGTCACCGGTGGGATTTAAACGTGGGCCACCTCATTGGGAGGCGAACGCTCCATCCTCGGAGCCACTGCGTTTCTAACAAAGAAAGTATATAGATAATTTTTTTTATATGAATTAGAAATTTTCATCAGTCCAAAAGAATAAAAAGATAAAAAAAACAAAAATAATAATCAATCGCCACGAGTAAAATACTTAGAAAACACCCAAAAGTAGGAAGGGGGGAGGTGAGTGTCGTTACAAAGGTGAAAAACTGTGCTAATCTTCATTGTGCGAGAACCTCTTAAAATATTGATTCTTTTCGTGGAACATTTTTCTAAATATTTTATTAAAAATGTTTCGAACTGAAGAAGCTTCAACAATTTTAAAAGGGGGCACACCAGAATCTCACTTAATCCTTAAAGAAGACAAAAAAAAGTTAATTGGATTCGAGAAGAGGGGGATCTTCGCAAAAGTTTCTTTTCTCTCTTGAGTTCGCCTCCAGACATACGAGGCGGCTACTTTGCACTCTGTAATCAATCTGACAATCACTTTTAATAAATTAAAAAATATGGTTTTATCTAATGGATATTTTAAGATTTTGTGATAAAATGAGAAAAAAAAACTTAAAAATAAATCCCTTCTTATTTATATTTTGCCTGCAGCGAGTCATTCGATTAGAAATTTTCTGAACTAAGTTGAGTATAAAAGATCAGTATTTAAAATTTTCATCTCTTGAAATTTACAATAACGAATTCGGTCAAATTTTGAATTTTGTTTCTGAAATTGATGCGGAAATCTAAGAAAATAATTATTAAACTGTCTAACATCAACTGTTTCAAAATTTAGCGGTGGAAGCGGTAGTGGTATAATTTTATTTATGTCGCACTAGAGGTGCACAATGGGTTAGGATACACGCCAGAGGATGGTCTGAAGGCATGACAGCACAATTTTGATCCTCTGCTGAGGGAATGGCTTTATTGCTTTATTTAAATACATTTACATACATTTATACATTTGCATAATTACATACATTTGCAGGCTAATGTGCTCAGTTTAGGCTTATAAACCTTTGCCAAGTAGAAAGACAAATAGAACAATTCAGAGAACGACATCACGAAGAATACATCCAGGGTTACGGTGGGTTTCGAACCCACTACCTCCACGTTTTGCACAGCGTTTGGCGGGTGATATCAATCGGCCCCTAGGGAATGGCTCTCCCTGGCTTAGGTAGCCCAGCGACCTGCTTGCGAAGTCAAACACTTAATGGTAGACCAGTTTAGCGTGGAATGATACCGCATGAACTCGGTCCCTGAGTCGCGATGGCTCAGGGGATAGAGCGTTCACGTTCCAATGAGGTGAACCGGGTTCGAATCCCAGCAATGTCTTGTCGATACAAATTCCGCATCCTTCTTTTACCGACCACATTGCTGACTTGAAATATCCTCTGTGGTAGACGGACGGATCATGCGTCCCCTTGCAGTCAGGCTAACCATGTGAGGTTCTCGTGGTCGTCCTCTCCATGTACCGCAAATGCGGGTTAGCTCCATCAAAAAGTCCTCCACGAAGGCAAATTTCTCCCAATNCTAACCATGGGAGGTTCTCGTGGTCGTCCTCTCCATGTAACGCAAATGCGGGTTAGCTCCATCAAAAAGTCCTCCACGAAGGCAAATTTCTCCCAATACTTGATCCCGAAGTTTCCTCGTCTTCTGGATTAGGTTCAAGGCTACAGAGTTGAACATTAGCAGTCGTAAACCCGAAAATTGGGTCGGCTGTTCAACGACGGTTATAAAACAAAAAAGGAAAAACTCGGTCCCTTCACAGACTGATCAAAGTGGTCATCCAATTGCCCACTGATACTTGACCGGTGATACTTGACTTCGGTAATCTACTGGGAACCAAGTCTAATGATCATTTCATAGCTAAATAAGTTGTGCAAAGTGACTCGTTATTTTTATACTTTCCTTTTTCTAGAACTACGTGATCGATTTTGTTCAAATTTTGTATTTTCTTGTTTTAAGTGACACAATCTAGTACGGAGCAAAAAATCGAAAATTTTTTAGCAGCATTATTAAATTAAATGATAAATACTTACAAAAATTAATTTTTGCATTAAATTGTCTTTAAACCAGCGATTGTGAGCAAGAAGTTTTTGAATTGCTTAAACAGATGCTATCTTGTCAGTTAAAAGCTAAATTTTTAAAAAAAAAATAAAAAACATGTTTATTTAAAGAAAATGCTTGTCGTGTTTGATTTTGCGTCTTAAAATATAGTATGAGTTAGTGTGTTTAGAATTTACCTTTTGAACCGTAATGATTACATCTTATTATGTGAAAATACCATAAATAGATCGTGACAACCACTCGTAAAATTACTTGTATTCCTTAAACCACTTTTTGAAGACGTAACGAATATCTTAAAAATGATTTAAAATGCTATGATGAAATCTACCTATAACAGCTTATAAAATCCTTTCCCAGAAAATATTCTAAGAATAAAAGTAATGTGTGGAAAATCCCTATTTTCAATTTCTATAACATTTTTAAAATGCATATTTAATGTAACCTAATAAAAAGATGCGTTTATTATTATTTACAGCTTCTTATTATTCTGAGTTTACTATGTTGAATAAATGAATAAATTGTTACAGGCAAAATAATTATTCCACAAACGTATTTTTTGATGTTATATTATTATGTGTCTGATTCGATAGGCTTTATCAAAATTGAAAGCACGCGTTTGATTTTCATGAATCTAAAAAATTGCAATTTTTTTCTATTTTCTAATTTTAAAATATATAGTATAGTTTTTTTTAGAGTTATCTATTCGAAGAAAACATCCTTACAAAAGATTTTTCCGACGTTGAAATGTTATTTTAACTTTTTAAGTGAAAAATGTTTAGAGTATATTTTCAATATGGATTCTTGAGATTAAAGTTTTATTTTTCCCTTCACTAAAACTATTTTAAATAAATCCTGAGGAATGCTGTTATTTAAAAAGGAATCTGAAATTTATTTTACTTATTTTTTCTGGAAAATGTGCACATTATTTTCGGTCTAATTGTTTAAAATAGATCCTGCCGATTTAAATTGCTTTGTGTCAAATTTATCAAAAATTGCTTGTAAAAGGAATTATTCTCATATACTATTCTTCTGACATGCCACAATTGTTCGAACACTTAAGAGTAAGCATAGAACACTCATAGAATATTTTGCATTTTAACGTCTCTCAAATGATATTAATTTTGAATTATGCACAAATAAACGCTTATAAAAACTTCATGTTTAAGCAATATCATATGCATAATTTAATCAAGATATTAAATAACATTTAAAATATTTTCCAAGTGACCAAGTGCTTGTCACCCTATAACGAATTTTTTATATGCTTATTTTGTTCAATTTCGTCATTTTTGGAATCTTTTAAAATGTTTATCTTCTGGATTTCGTCTTTTTTTTTAAAAAAAAAAGGTTGTAAAAAAAGATTTATTTCTGTGCAAACAATTTGCTCTTCCCTGTGCCTGTTTTTTAGAAGAACTCGTATTAGTAAATCCTGTGAAATAACTTATTTTAAACATGCCTTTAACTATGCACTATTCCATTTTTAATTGTAAGTTACATTTCTATACATTTAAACGTATCACATTGACTCTCACTCCCAATTTCTCAGTTGTTTATTATGTATGTTTAAGATTGCATTAAACAGCAGTTTGGACGAGACCAATAAAAACATTTTCAGCATCTCGGGTTCATTATAGCGCGATTAGACTGTATTTAAAGGCCGGGATAGCCTGGTTGGTAGTAGGACGTTGGGCTCATGTTCGTGAAAATCCTCGAATATTAAATAGTGACTGGGGTCCACTTAATCTGTCGGTGTCGCAAAGTTCTTCAAGTTACCATAACAAATCAATACCTCTGGGGGTACTGAATTGGAGATTGATTGTTTTCTGGTAGAAGTCGAAATTAAGATCTGGTGGGATTACGAATGAAGTAGGAATGGATTCTCGCTGTGGCTGAGGTCATATTCTTGGCCATAGATGGAGCTACTGAAAAACAAGAAACGCAACATCTGTTTGTAAAATTCGCTTGATTTCAAGCAGGCTTGCTGATTGTTTGGTGGCATGAGTAACAACAACAGTCTGTATTTTTTTTTTGATTAATTGTAACTATAGGTTTTTGTAGTTAATTTACGTCGCACTAGAGCTGCACAATGGGCCATAGGCGGCGGTGAGGGAAAAATCCCTGAGGATGATCCGAACACATGCCAACGCAATTTTGGTCCTCTGCAGAGGGGATTGCACTCCCTTTTCGGTAGCTCGACGACCTGCACGTGAAGTCGAGCACTTTACGGCAGAACAGTTTAACGAGGAACGATACCGCATACCCTCAGTACCTGCGCAGAATAATCCAAGTGGTCACCCACCCGCACACTGACCGCAGCAAGTGATGCTTGGCTTCGGTGATGTGCGGGGAACCGCGTCTTAACGATCAGTCCACTGCGGGACTATAACTATAGGATGATAAAGAATGATCCAACTTAATTGAATGTTCGTTTACGAAATGAAAGAAAAATACCACTTCATATCATAAATGTTTTTTTTTATTAATGACAAATATCAACACAAATGAAACATATATTATATGGGCACCAGGCCACACATCATGTCATGGTTTGGCGAAACACAGGTCGCATATTACATAGCTATGAAATGGAACAACCACAAATGAATTTATATACACATGATATATATATAGTATATGGCTTTTTAATATTCGATATGATACTAATAAAACATCAGAGTTTTTTTAAACATAATGTGTTCATGAATGCTATTTATCGTACATCAATAAAATGACACACAACATAGCTCAGAGGATTTTAAATCCGTAATTGACAGCAGAATTCACTGTTGTCGTGGTGAACTATCTACAGTTTGTTTTTCCTATATGCTAAGAATTTTCTGAAAATAAAATTGTTAAATTTGGAACTAAATTTTTTGAAAGTAATTAATGGAATATTCGAACTACTGAAAGACAGCGTAGCGTAGCATAAAGCAATTTATTCTCGTACAATTGTTTTTAGGTATTTTATCTACAACAACAATTTGGAAATGCAATATGACTATTCCTTCTACTTAATGGTGCATTACAAATTGCGACTTTGTAAAGATCGGAGAAAACTGCTCGATCAAGACTAAATTATATTGCTTTGCAAGAGATAGAGAATTGCAAGGATCCAGTTCAGTTGAAAACAAAAGATTACTCATTTAATATTCGAAAATCTAGTTAACTTGGTCCTTACTGTAAATTTAAAAAAGATGTGAAATAGAATTTGATGTAGTGAAACATTTTTATGGCACTTTCCTTTCTTAGGGATATGCTGATTTACATTATATGCGACATATTTCGTATAACTTGCAAATCTCAATGATTATTTGTACTATTACAAATCTAATGCACAGTAAACAAAAGAAAAAAAACTACGAAACAGCGTAAATAACTTTCGTTCTAATGACTGGATTTGCACGAACTAGGACTTCTTAATTGCTGGAGTATATTTTAAGTTACAAAATCAGATACAAAAGCAAAATTAACTTAATTTATTTAGGTAACTTAACTTAAAATGACATCTGCACTGATTAATTAGCATATTTAAGGTCCCCCTCGTGAACCATTAAGTGTGATTCTTTTTTCTGAAAATCCAAACTTTGGAATAAAAGTTATTTAGAGTGTCTCTTTCTTTCTATTTTGAGTATTTAGTGCACAGACAATAGTTTGCACTTAATGCGTGAACTAAAAACTTCTAAACTTCTGTTTAAATTGAATGAAGAAGTTTTGCACATTCTTATTTTTCAGTTGCTTGATTTTCTGTCTGTGTTAAGGAACTTATTCTACTCAGTTTAAACAAAAGTCTGCTTTAATCTCTAGTTCATAGAAGGCGGTCCGTAGAATACAGTAATGCAGGTTTTCTATTGTGCAAAGTTTATAGGCAAAATTTCAGACAAATGTTCGAATCTCAATGCTATTTTAATATCTATCAAGTATAAAAGAGATTTTATCCATTCGAAGTAATACCGCGTTAATAGACAATAAGACGTTATAGACAATAATGACATTATTAATGCGTCACATTTCAACAACAAAAAAGTAACGATATTTTTTTATAATGTTCAATTTTTATTGTATAAGATACCTGTTCCCCGACACGGAGCTTTTGGCAGCCGCTCCAAATTGTTTTGATGATGCTGTTCGTAAACAAAATGAATAGTTTAATCGGTTGTCATCTTTAGAGTAGAGTGGATATATTTTTTCCTTCTCTTTAATGACTTTTTTTAAATAAGCTTTTCATTTTGATACAAGTTATTTTCCATACTGCTCCAACAATATATTTTGGGACATTTTTTCATCAAAGTAAAAATTCATATCAAATATATATTTAGAAATTAAGAATTTGATTGATGCATTTAAAGTAGAACGATTAAACTACATTTAGTAGGAATGTTCCTTAAGTTTGAAAAAATCGTGAATTGTATTTTATTATTCTCTAAGAGTTTAACTTTTGTTATCTGAAGTTTAATTTTCTGAGAGAAATATTTAAATTAATGAAGAAATTAATAATCAATTAAAAATAATGACGTCATGTTGAAACTATGAATAGAACAAATCGAAAACCCAACAGTTAAACTACTAGCGACCGTTAACCGCTAAACGACGAACTCTTCAAAAGTTGAAAAAAATTTGAAGCTGGCTCCAAAAAGCACATTACTTTTTCGGTTATACAAATACCATCAAGCATAATCATAGAAAAATAGGCTGTGGGCCGAATGCTCAAAATCAAAAATTAGTCTAAATATTTATATTCTGTCAACACAGTCTGGATTTTAAAAACAATTAACCACATATGGTGTACTCTATTAAAAAACTTTCGCGGCTTTTTATTTTTATATGCGGCTTTTTATTTTACCGTATGCGTGCAGTGGGTAAGCTCTTCAATAATTCCTAATTTGTAAGTTTAACCAACCAATTGATCTAGATATTTGTATGTAATAACATTTTTCGGTTGATTTTGATGCTTAAATAGTTGAGTCCAACTTTTTTTTTCATAGATGCACTCACAAGGCATGAATGTAACTTTAAAATTTATTTTAAGTGTGATGTAAAATGAGCATTTCTATTAGATAATTGGTCGCTCACGTAATGAAATATTATTAAAAATAGTTGGTATTTTTTTTTTAAGAATAATGTGATACTTCAAAACTTCAGAAGTATTATGACGCAGTTTTTATTAATTAAAAAAAGTTCATTCGAATGAATACGAACGAAAGGATAAATGGCTTCGGCCCATAGTCTATAATGCATTGTATTTCACTCGATTCATCAAAATAAATAAAAATGATACGAAAACAGATGAGTTGTGTTAGTAGAGATAATTGTTCTCGTAGGATTCATCCATCGCACAAAAATTGTCGGTGCACTGCAGAGATTCGTCGCATGGACAGACGTGCGTGTATATCTCGTACACTTCTACGGGTTCGCCATTCGGATAGTACAGGGTACGATTCTCAGGCGGGTTGTCATCCCTGCAGTAATCCTCCACTTGACCCAGAGGCATACACTGCGCCATGCTGTATCGCATCATACCTGAAATAACAACAGACGATTTTTTATTGAAATGGCAAACGACTTTAAAAAAATTTTAATGTTCTAAAACTCTGAATATCATTTACTATTCTGTGTTCAGCCTATTCTGCCACCGATACCGAATGTCAATTTTTTTCAACCTATCGTATAATCGCCTTGGTCAAATACTATATTATTATTATATCCCTGTACTATTCAGCTGAATTAATATTTTTTTTCCTTCGGTTTATAGAATAATTCATTTATAACGTTTAAATGATATAATTTTGGTTAGACTTCATTTCATCTGTAAATTACTAATATGGAGCTCATAATTCAGATTCCCAAAATGAAAAAAAAATTAAAAATATTTTTGACCTAAATTATTGTGATCAATAAAGAAAAGGAGATAAAAAATAAGGAGAAATTTAAAGGAAACATTTTAAGGAGGAAAGAAATGGGTCGTGTTTAAAATTTTTAAGCTTCCAGTGAGATTTCAAAATGGTCACAAACATTTGTTTAAGTTTTTTAAATTTAAGATTAATATTAAATTTTAAGGTCAAAAATTGAACTTTCAGCCTTAATATCTATCAGTGTTGTTGCATTTGTGCACTAGAATTCATGATTCAATGTTTTTGAATTCATAAAAAAACTAATAACCTTCATAAAAACGTTTTCAACTCATCACCCAACTACAGCCGAGCACCTAGCCCGTTTTCCAGAACTTTATATTTTAATGGCCATGGTCATAATGCCAGGTCATTTTGACCCTGGTCAAACGACGTGAACGAAGCTTGAGCTGGTATCTCTCTCTCTAAACTTTCACACTACTATTATTTAGTCGGCTCCTACTACTGTTACTGTTCTGACAGCTATCAGGATTGAATTCACGATCTCAATCTCTCCAACCGAGGATTGAACGACGCCTTAAAGCTGTTTTCAGAAGGCTTCATCGTAATATCAAATGATGTTTTTTGCGAATTATATGCTACTTTTATAAGTGCTGGGAGTTTGCAAATGTTACTCACGACTGTTTAGTCAAGTTTAACCTATCTAAAGCCAGCTCTGTCTATGCTTATTTTGAAACTAGCACAAGATGTCAATATGGAGGAAAGCCTCAGTTTTGTGAAAATGAAAAGTGTTTGTGATCTAATTTTTTAATATTTAAAAACTTACTCATATGCTGCATTATTTGGTCTCATAAAAATTTGGTAAAACTGAGAATAAGGCAGTGATTAAAATTAATTTCAGCTAGGTGGAAAAATATCACCAAATTGGCGACTTTTATAAAAGTTTAATAACTTTATAATATTTAAGTTACTTATCTTTTTCAAAGCCCAGATAATTAATTCTTCACGATAAGATTATATATATACTTTACAATCATCGCAGTGCAGGGCGGCACTTAAACTTTGGCTTTTTTATTTTCCTTGGCGACGGAGCTTCAAAAAACAGCGAAACAAACTGACTGCAGGACGCTTAAAAGTATTCTCCATTGAGTTATGCTTTTTTCGCCGTTGAAAAGCGAAGTGAGACGTTCCTATCTTATAATCATTTATTAAAGTTGAATACCCATCTATTTTAAAACCGTTCATAAACAAGACACGCGTCATTATCATCTCGAAGCTATGCATGGCATCTCTTTACCTATTCATTCCGCTTTCTCGTTCACACAGAACTCCCCCTTCCCGAACAGAAAATAAATCTCTAGTTGGTGGAACTGAACATGTGGTCGTGTCAGCCCCTTCCATCAAAATCCTTCTTCTCTTATTACACACACATTGATCGACAAACTATTCTTAATCGCCAAGTTTCTAACGATACACCCGCCAATTAATGAGTTTTCTCTCTCTTTAATGAAGTTATCGCTCTAAGAATAATTATCCCCTATTTGCGAAAGAATGAAACAGAGAGGATAATTAATAATTCAAAGGGGCCGCTTGCTTGCTTTTAAGAGGATCCCTTCCAGAAAATATATTTTTTGGACGACGCCCATAAAATCGAGAAGATTTTCGAAAGTGGATCAAAAGAGAGAGGGTGCATTGACGATCTCACGAAAAGCAATTAAGTCAAAAGATGAGCTGTTTGTGCAAAATGAAAACTACTGTTTCGGGTGATAATGATTCTGTACTTATTCATTAAAGCACATATTTAGTTGGTTTAGTTTTTAATGTACTTCACTCATAACGATGCATCAACAAAAGTAAGTCACTTCACATAAAAAGAATACTGTTAGAGGCACGTTCCATAGAAATTTAATTAAATGAGATTTTTTGTTGATAATTTGAAACGAAACTGAAAATTTTACGTTAAGAACAAAAAGGTCTTTTTTTTAAAATTTTTTTAACGATTAGGAAAAGAGGGAATTGTTTTTATACTATGAATTCGTAAGGGATTCACAATAAATTTCGTATGGGGACACTTTCAAATATCTCGCTTAAGTTTAAATACTATGGATTGCTTCATGAAACTATAGACAATTGAGATCAACGAAAATGAAAGCAAACAAAATTTGCTTTTAGAGAAAGGAAATTATGAGAGAAAGAAACTAAAATTAATATTTAAATTTATTTTTTGAAACTTAAATAGTTCATACGTGTCTTTTGGTTAAAAAAAACGAGTAAAAGAGGAAATGATGTTGTGGCTCGCTCCATTTTCACACAAACGATTAAAAAAATAATTAAACAAAACTTACCAAGTACACAGCACTCCCCTGGACCACAATCTGCTTGAGATCGGCATTCTGACGTTGCCAATGTATAACTGCTCACCTGAAAATAATAAAGATTAACAATCAATTAAGCAAATTATATCGTTTCAAAATAATACAATAGAGGATGCTGTAAAATTATAGCAACTTATTCATTTGTATATAATTTCATTACACAAAATTATGTCTAGAAAATAGCAATGTTGTTGTTGCTAATTCCCATCTGCTGGCTGTCAATAAATCAGTTCACATTTAGGAAGTCCGAAGCTAAAAGGGGAGAGGAATGAATGTCGCTCCAGTTCAGCCCTAAACAGTTCAAGATGTGCTCAGGTGATGCCTGGTTTTGTTGGCATTTGGGGAAAAGAGGAAAAATCTGTTGATTAGCAGAAAATGTGAGGCTTTTCGGGTGTCCACTGGTCTGTCGGGATAAGCAAGTGTTGGTCTGCCTGTCACCAAGAAGAGATAGAGAGAGTCCTGGTCTTTTTGCTCTATACCAGAAGTGAATAGGTGGAAACAGCCACTTTTGTTTATTCTGGGGCTTTTGCCTTGCGAAAGGTTCAAGGTATGTAAGCTCTGAGTTGGAGGGGACTGGATGGTCCAGTCCCTTCTTAACAAGAGTGTCAACCAATCGTTTCCGTGGATATCAACGTGGGACGGGATTCGTTGAAAGTAGACTTCATCCTGCTGGGAAATAAACTTTACTGTTTGTAACATCGAAAAACTGGTTTTATCTCCAATGAGAGCCCAATTTTTGAGGTGTTGAATTGAACTACGGCAGTCAGATAGTATCCAAGTATTTCCAAAGTGCCCTTCACTCAAGATTTTCTTTAGTCCCCTGTCGATTGCAATTAGTTTGCTTCGAAAGACGGAACAAGAATCGGGGTTGCGTTGATGAAGAGTGTAGTTCTCTCGAGGTGTTTCAATAAACACTCCACTGCCTATCTGTCTATCCATTTTACTGCCATCAGAGTATATTTTGAAGTCGTTTGGAGGGATTTTATTGATGATTTCCAGGGACAATTGTCTGAGGAAGTCAGGCACGCAGTCTTTCTTATCAAGCATGGTAGGGAGGCTTTCATGGAAACTAACATTGGAAAGATCCAAGCAAGTACTGAGATTGCAGTGAAGATAATGAGGTTCAATATTTTCAGCAATTAACAGTTGTAATTTAACATGACTAAAAGTACTGTTTTTCTTTAGCCTTTGATTGCAGGTTCAATTATTTAGATAAATAGTAGTTAAATTGCCTTGGTCTAAACTGGAAAGTTTATAAAAATATTTCACAAAATTAGCCTGCCTTCTAAAGTTAAGAGGTTGCAGATCTGATTCGTAAAGGACGATCTCTGAAGGACAGCAATATAAAGAAAATAGCAATACATATCCTTAATAACAATCCTTCGGAGAGACGTATCAAAACGATGGTTATGCAAGCGTGTTGAGAAATATTCATTAATTTTTCATACATTTTTCATGTAACTACCTGAGTAAGAAGTGCTTTAGAAAATTCTAAATTTTTGTGTGACATAGGGCAAGGTTGGTCTAAAAATTCAATAAGCTCTGTAGTACTTTTTTTCCATTTGAAAATAAAATGAAGTGTGGGTAATTAATTTCGAACAGCTATTTCTGGACAGTGAGAAAATTTCTACTAGAATGCTCATTCTCTATTCCACAAGATTCTGAAATGAGCCAAAACTTTAAAGGTTTTCATACACGTACTAGTTGATTTTGATCACATATGTTATTCCCCTAAAATACCCCAAGGTTCTTTTAAATTCACGCAAATCCTACTCCTCTAACAGGACACTTGTAATGGGTCAAGCTACCAGCTTGTCAGTTGGCTTGTGAGTTATTTTGAATTATAATCTTTTTTTATGGGAATCTTCTTATAAAATAAATCATAGATTGAGGCCTCCTTGTAGCTCGTGTTATTATCACGGTTATTATCGTGTTATTATTAGGCAGTTATTATCACAGAACTTATCACCGAAATTAAGCATTACCGGCATCAATAATAGTTTGATGATTTTTTATGACGATCTGAAACGGAATAGTACAGTTAAATCTCGACTCTCAAATCAGCATTATAAAATACTGTCTAAAAAATAACTGAAAATAATAAATAACTGAAAATAATAAATAAATAAACTAAAAATAATAAATACATAAACTAAAAATAATAAATAAAGAGTACAAAAAGATTTAAAGTTACGTACTAACTGTCAATTAAGCCGAGTCGATAATGTATATGTGAGCTATTCACGGCACTTATTAATCAACTTTATAAAGCGGAAAATTTGAAAATGCGATGAAATTATGTAAATTTTTGTCTATTACAAATTCGTAAGAAAATGAGCTGTTTTGGGATGTTAGTTACGCTTCCCCCTTCTTGAAGAATAAGCACAATAGACAATTTCTTGAGTGTGGTAAATTTTGAATATCATGACTTGCCCTCGACCAGTGACTGTAACCAGTTAATCTTTATTTAGAATGAGGTGGACTTCTAAGAATGCATTTTTCTTAATTTAAGAGCGTTCAGCCGCCGAAAAAGGACAACAAATAATAATAAATAATAAAAATATGCGAACTATTATTTTTTTTATTAATTTGGTCTGTATACGTCTTTCAGTTTTATGAATGATTTCGTAGAGTTGATCTTGGTGCTTTACTTTTTTCAACCCGATCATTTTATGTTTGATTCAAAAAAAAATTAAGTTCTTCTATTCAGTTGCACTGACATATTTAAAGGTATATTTAGAGATATTTTGCGTTTTTATCATTCTTAAAAACACCCATTTCAAAGTCAGATAACTTTAGTTTCGTTAAGTTAAGTGAAGAGCATAAAAAAAACACACAAAGAATTTATCTTTTTATTTAAAACATGAAAATAATTTATCGAAACAATCAAAGATATAAAAGCATATTTACATATTTTTTGTTTGTTTTTTAAATGCATCGTTCATAATGTACGACGCAGTCGCCTTTACTTATACACCAAAACATAATCTTTGTCAATTCGAAGTCAATTTTCCACGAGAGTTCTTTAAAAAGTTTCTTTGAAATACAAATTGAATAAAATATGTTTCACGGCAAATTGAACACAAAATCAAAGTTAAGTTGACACAAGAATGAAAATACCGATGAATTTTTGAAAATTTGCCAACTTCAATTACCTTTGTTTAGATATCAAAGAGAATGGCACTGCCTGAGAGTGATTTTTGAAAAAAGGAATGGATTTTTGTTTGAATTTAGTTTTTTTTCTCGAAGTATTATTTGTTGACTGAAGAAAAGAGAACTGGCATCAAAGTTTTTTAATACATTTATTGATATGACAAATAAAATAAGTTTTTTGAAATGTTATTTCATTTTAAAACAGGCACTTATTGATTGATGACTGGAAGACAGTTCTTCGAAATTCGAGTCTCTAATGCTTTGATGTAGATGGGACACCGGTGTGCCTTTAATATAATTTTTTCTGGTTCTCTAATTATAAGCAAAAATACGTTTTGGTATTTCTTAATTAAAAAAAAAGAATAATAGTTACTAAAATAACCGGTCAGATTATTAGATCGGCATATCTAACGGTTAGATATGTTAGATCGGTATTATATTTGTACTAAAATATGAAATTCATGAAAAGTAGTTTGAATTTTTTTCATTCATATTCAAAAATTTATCATTAAGTGATTTTATATATTAAAAGAATTGTAATTGTGAATAACTGTTTCTCTTACATCAGCAAATAAGTGCAAAATTAAAAAATTATTGTTTGGAAGTGAGCCGTGTTTGGAAGATTTTACCTTTTACGCTTAATTTATCATTAATTGATTTTATATATTAAAAAGAATTGTAATTGTGAATAACTGTTTCTCTTAAATCAGCAAATAAATGCAAAATTAAAAAATTATTCTTTGGAAGTGAGCCGTGTTAGGAAGATTTTTCCTTTTACGTAGAAGAAGACATACCTATCCTAACCATAAATTATTGAAATGGGAAATATAATATTTTCACTTGCTTTGACCTAAATTAATGCATAATCATGAAAAAGTTTGAAAAATATGTTTAATAAAAATTGTGCGTCAAAGAGTTCAAAGAGAGACTACTCTGGTAAATATTCCTTACAATCCGAATCTCAGTTTGTTTGTTTTTGTTTTGAGTGAATTCTTATTTTAAAAAAACAAGGATTCCTGCGGTATATATATTTTAAGTTGAAGTTGACTCTCATTCCTTAAATAGAGTTTTGCCTACCTATTTTAAATTTAGGTTTGGCCTTACAAACAAAAATCACATATTCCTGAACTGCGAACTATATTTTGAATTATTTTGCTCACGTGAACTCTTTGTTGCTGTCGTAGGCAAGTGAACTTTTAAGTGAAGTTAATTAGATTATATGTAGGCTATCTAAACATTGGTTACAAATCTTGACTGTCTCCCTCATATGTATGAAAATATATTTTCAGATTATACCGTAAACCGAAAATAAAGCCATAATGGATGAACGTATTCTTTGATTTGATTTGCTAATGTATTTAATTTCTGTCTGTCTATCTCAGGTGAACTTTTTAGTACAGTTAATCAGATTATACGTGGGCTACCTAAAAATTGGTAGCGAATCTTGACTAACTCACTAATGTGCATGGAATTATATTTTCAGATTATACCATAAATTAAAAGCCCTTGGAGTGGTTGAGCAATAGTCTTTGCTATGATGCGCTAATATGTTTAATTTCTGTCAATCTAAATGGAACATTAAAATCTGTTTAAATTTTTGAAAATAAATGTTACATTCGAACTAACGGGGTAAGAAAAAGTGAATGATTAAAAAAACAAAAAAACAACTGTCTTTCGTAGCATTCCGAAACGTTATTTAAATTTCAATTTATGTAGACAAAATTGCTCAATGCGATTCTAATTTAGTTGTTTTTAACAAGATAAAATTTTTCGCACTGAAGGAAAGAAAAAAAAAGCTAACTTCAAAGTGTTACTGGTATTTGAAAATTCAAGGCAAGACGGGGAAATGTAAAAAAATGGGAGTGTGTCTGACAAACAAATCGCCTGCGCTTTTACCCGAGAGATTCGAAAGTTCTCGAAGTTTTCGATTTATTTATTTCTTCTTCCGAAATGGGGTTTATTTTTCCACTTGCACAGTGACAGTGAAAAAAGTGAAAAAAATATAAGGCTGTCAATTTGTTTTTTCGAGGTTGTTAGTTATAGGCCACCTTTATAAAAATAAAGCAGATGTATTTTATTCAAAGTAAATTTTTAAGAAACATAAAAAAATTGGTTGATTTACATATTATTTATTAAGAACACGCTTAGCAATGCAAATAAAATATTTTGCAATTCCTTCTGGGGTATAGTAGAACATCACATTGAATTATTTGTCTCGCTATTTTAAATATTTGTTTGAGCACAGAACAAAATATATACTTAGAAATTCAATTTCACTATGTTTTAAAATTGAATCAATTTATTATTGGAAGTATATGTTAATAACTGATTATACTGCGTAAGATTAAAAATTATCTGTGTTTAGGGTTCAGTTCATCGTCCTACATCATCATCAGTATCATTTGGTTCATCATTATTGATTGGTCGAATCATCATACTGGAATCCTTTTACTCCAATGAACTGATTAGAATCATTTGAATTACATTGATGATTCGATTTACCTATTTCAACTTTCATAACAGTTAGTGTTTTTACACTGTAAAAAAATTAATACTCAAATTTCACGAAACTTTCTTCACTTTTGACGAAACCGCGTATTCTTGTACATGCTCCGAGTGAATATTTCGTTAAAGTGACGAAATAAAACTCGCCACCTCCTCGAGGAAGGGAATTTCGTCAAAAGAAAAGAAAGATTTCTCCATTCTAGTTTCGATCATCTAGTTTTCATTCTAGTTTCGTCATTCCAGTTAGCAATTACCCACAATACAAGGCGATGAGGTTCCGAGTAGAGGAAACGTTTTCGTCATATAATTGAGACTTCGCGTTTCATCGCAAATCACGCAATTTCGTGACGAAATGATTCGCAAAATTAACGAAATACATCTCAATTATTGCTGAATCGTCAAAAGTGAGTGCTTATTTCTGAGAGTGTATATTAAGCAATAATATGAATTTGTGGCAGTTTAGTCTTGAAATAACAGTTCAATGGAGTATTTCTTTGCCCTCCTGAGACGGTGACCATGGAGATAGAGAGATACAGATGGTCGAAAACGAAAGTTGGTGCTTTGAAAGTTTCAGAAATTGCATAAATATGGAAAGTTTCTTTTTTGTTATAGTTTTGTAACTTCTTGGATTAGTTTGCTTTCCTGAACTTTTGTGAAAGAATCCATTCCGTCCATTTTGCCATAAATAGCATTAATTTCGTGGATGTAGTCTAATATTCGAAGATGTAGCTCACACTAGTCAAACATTGAGGAATATTCCTCTTTGTGAAGAATGCTTTAAATAAAGCTAACCTGAATTAACATTACATTTGGAGAGGAAAGACGCGAAATTAATCTATCGCTAATCCATGATCAGTTAGCGACTTAGGTCATTTCTGTGCAGCCGGGTGCAACATACAAATAAGGCAACCATTTGTTAGGATTTTGACTTACACTGCAAAAAATTTGGGAAATTCAGACTGTAAACTGTCTTTTACAGTTCAACGATACAAGGAAATTAGAACTCAGCTTCATTAGAAGATGAGCTTTTTCCAAGTCTGATTTGACATCATGACTGATTTTTTGAAAGTTTCTGTTCATTTGTTTCTAGAACCATAATAATAATGTTGGCAGGATGATCTGAGGGAAAGAAAACTCCGAGTTTGAAGCATGTTTTTCTGTATGGAATCTTTGTTATGGTTGAATACACCATAAAAAAAAATCGCATTAAATTACGTTATAAAGTATTTGGGTGCATTATCCGTAAAATCCATTTTTATCGTAAAGGGGTATATCACAATTTCTACAGTAGTATTTATTTAAATAAAGTGATTCGGTGATTTTACGGTAATTATTACTGTGAAAACGGTATATCAAATTTTTGTACCGTAACATGCTTCGGCAAAAATGGATTTTATGGTAAAATTTCCCAGCACCCTGAGTTCCAGTACTTTTTAACTTAATTTGATTTAAAATTTTTTTTACAGTGAACACATTCCCCTGTGCATGTTTCCATTTTTTATATCGTAAATTTTTATGATAAAGAGTATTGGCACCTTGAGTGCCTTGTCTCTGTAAATTTACTTTTTTTTCTTAGTTTAACAACAGAGTGAATTGCCTGTATCAAAAGAGAGTTATCCTTTCGGAGCCAGCCCAGTTTCCTCGAAAATTTATGCATTATTATAGCATTATTTATGCATTATTGTCATTAGAGCATTCAGAGTATTTAAAAAGGGGACTTACTTGAGAGAAACAGCATACTAGCATAGCAGCGAGGAATGCATACATATGAACAGGAGTGCCCATGTTGAAACTTAATGTGATAATTTTCTGAAAAAAGAAAACAATTGTAAGCATTTTCAGATATATTAAATCAGAAATTTTATCAGCTATTCATTAAAGCAAATCAAATCAACGATAATGAACAGTTTTATTATTAGAAATGCATTTTAGTCAGTTATAATTCGAGAGGAATAGAAAAAATTCAATATTTTTCATATCGTTTATTTTAGCGTAAATCTATAGGCTAAAATAAATTGCACTGGTTTACGTAGGTCAGCTTCAAATGCATTGTAAGTGCAGGTGAATTTGATATAATTTATCGTATTAAATAAATAGTATATTGTTCAAACACCGTTAAAATGTCTTTTTCGTGTTAGCAATAATGAACTGAAAATTGAAATACCGAATGAATGAGCAATTATAAGCAACGTACATGGTACCACAAATTTCTGAATGACAATTTTTTCCGCATGGGCAACCAAGAGCTGAAACATATTGAACTGTAAACTGGGCAGAAAGGAAAAATCAAAAGCGAGCAGTTAATATAAACTAACTGTTCTATATTTATGCTATAATTATTAAGTTACACAGGTTCAATATTAACTTAGAGCTATATTGCAGCTTTAATGATGCTACTTCAAAGCATTAATAATCTGTGCTGCTGTTTCCGCATGAACTTGCGTCCTATCGGCAGTTTATCGCCGCAGTCACGTTGCTACTTCAATGCCGGAGAGAGATGCGTTTTACAAACAAAGATCGACTTTTATTTTTTCATACGTTATTTTGGTTTAATTCATTCCACCAGCTTATATTACAATATACAGACACTATGAGTTTATGCAAGAATAATGAATAAGTTGTGTAATCAAAAGTTGAAATTTATAATTTTGTTTACATGGAATCTTAATGTATATGCATATGACAGGATGCTAAGTTTCAGAACTACATTTTAAAACAGAGCATACACACAAATTTGAAAAAAATACAAAAATACAATGATCTTGTGAAGTAATTTAGAAGTGCGAAGCAATCCGAAAGGAGCTGCGAAAGTAACTCCGGGGTTGTTGAGTGCAGCGAATAGTGGGTAAGTCACATTAATATAAATAACAAATTATTAAGAAATTTGGTTGGCATTTCATACATATGTTTACAGTATTTAAAGGACTTACATTGTAACTATTACTTATTAAACTGAAATACAAGTTAAATTTCAAAATATCTCTCACTTTATGGAACAATACCTATCAGCCTTCCATGTTAGGGTTCGCAAATTAATTTTCGTTTTTGAACTCACTACAATGATTGTCTTTTCATATGATTTTCGTGTGTAACTTCATAAAAAGGTACTAAACTTTTGTGCTCAGCGTACTGAGGTGAGACTGGTAACCAAGCAAAATTTTTATTTATTAAAAAAAAGTGGGTCACCTTGTTGAGATGGAATGATTCCTTTAAACTAAACTAAATATATAAATTGCTGATCTTTAAAAACTATTATATTACATATTTATTATCTCACGCCTTTTAACACTAGATTGTCCAAGGAAATCATTTTGACTGCTTTTTAATTTCAATTAGAAAAACAATGATGACACAATTTCTTAGAATTTTATGACTTTTTGTACAACAAATAATTTTTTTTTATTGTTAATATTTTCTAATAACTTGCTATATAACTGAAAATAATATCAAAAATATTAAAAAATAATTTTAAACAAATTTCTTTATACATCAGTTATTCTTTCACAATGCAGTCATTTTGACTGCTTTCGGACAATATAAGTATTTTGGTCTTTCTAGTGTTAAATCTGAGTTAGGTGTGAAATTTAAAATAGCTTCTTTCTTTTCGTGTGTAAGAAAATGAACAAATTATTTCAATATAATATTCTCATGACAAGACTTTTTCTTAAAAGAAAAATACTCACTATTTTAGTCACCACTCTGTTTTCATTATGCATGGCGCACAGTGTGCAAAAAATAAATTAATAAATGGACCACCCTGAATAACTTTTTGATCTAATGATTGGATCTTCACGTTCTAGGACTTAATTTAAATGATTCGAAGGGGTTGTCTCAAATATCCTAATTAATTATCTCAGGCAATATTTTAAGTTACAAAATCAGACACAAAAACGTACTTTCTATAAATAAACTTACTTTTTCTTCGACGGATTCGGATCTCTAACCTTTAAAGTAAGGGTGGTCGTTACAATCTGGAAAATATGGTACCAATAGTTAGGCCAGGAAAGCGATCCAAAGTTTAAACTCCGTACAATTGCAAAAATATGATTTATTTAAAATTTGATTTCTAAGGAACTATTCGACAGATTTTGCTCAAATTTTGTATATTGCCAAGTAAAGTTACATTCTTTAAAATTACATAGAAAATTGAATTACCTTACAATTCAAAAGAATTTTTGACTACTGTAAAATAAAATAATAAAAATAATAAGTATTTAATAAAATTGATATTTTGCATGGATGCATCTTTGCATCAACCAATTTTACAATGTATAAAATTTTTTTTCAATTCGCTTAAAAAGTTCTCGCGATATGGCGAAACATGCAGAAAATAAAATTAACATTAAGGGGTCCAAACTTTGGACTGCTCTCCTAGACAAACTATGGGGACCATATTTTCTAGATTGCGATTACCCCCTATAGTTTGAGGGTCAGAAATTCGAATCCATCAAAAACAAGCATGTTTGTTCAGAAAAGCTATTATTTTGAGTCTGATTTCGTAACTTAAAACCACGTCTGCGCTAATTATTTAGCACATTTGAAAACACTCCCTTGAACCATTAAGAACAAGTCCTAGAACATGAAGATCAGATCATTAGATCAAAGGTTATTCAGGATGGCCCGTTTTTTGCGCTCTGAGCAAACTGAGTTAATATGATATAATAATACAGACTACAGCTAACTACTGTTTTGCTTAAAACAAATCTATGAAATACAGCAACTTATAACCCTTAAATGTATGCACAGAACTAGTTAAATACGAATTAAATTTATTCTAGATGTAAAAGGTTGAAATATTTATCGATATCGGTCGCTTCATTCCACCCCGAAGAATGTTCTGCTCAAATCAATTTTGATAAGTGTTTGGGACATAATTTCTCGATTAATATTTAATACTTTTGCAGACCAATAAAAGGGAGGTCTCTTCAATCTTGAGAGAGGTGTCCCTTATTGGACAGTGTATCCAGGGGGCTATATCCGGGACATAATGAAGGAGTGCCATCTCTAATTTAGAATATTGTCATCCACTAGTCAATGTATTGAAGGAAATGTCGCCATCGTATTAAAGACAGCTTCGTATCCCTACTTCTTTATTGGAACGGAATATTAGATTTTGGCGAGAACGACTTTTAAGGGCAGTTCTGAAATGGGGAGAGTATAACACAGGTTAAGAATTTAAACTCTAACAAAACAATCAAGTTTGCATTTAATTCACTGTAAAAATTTTGAATAAAGTTGTAATTTGGTCAAGTGACATAAATTTGTGTCATTGCAAAACAATTTTTCTTAAATACTTTTGAATCATTATTTTTTTTTCTACCTAAAGAGTCTATTTTGAACATCAATGATGTTAACGAAGTTTTTTTTTTAAATTTTTTCAATTTTTAAAAAAAAATATTAACAGCGTCTTAATGCTAATAAATAAAAAAATATGAGTATAAAATTTAAATATGACGATTATTTGATAATATCTTAAACAAATGAATTGATAAGTTATATTTGACTGTGAGAAAGTGTTTTTAAAAAAGCAATTGAGTTTTTTTTTATGCATGTCCAAAAAATTAACGCCCCATTATTTTAACAAAAAGTAAAGTAAACTGAGAAAAAAAAGGTACGGTCTAAATCATGATATGGGAATATGGTTAAATTTACCGTGTTTCTAGCAATATGGGAGCACCAAAAAGCTCGGTAGTTTTTACCAATGTGCTTTGGTTATGATTTTGGTAAAATTAACAATTAAATATGCTTTTATAATCTGTGATAAAGTTTTGTAAATTCGTTAAAATTTGGCAAGTTAATCATGCGATATCTTAAAACATGGCATAAAAAACCATTTATTCGTTTAAATTTACTTTTCAAGCCTAATCAGTCGAAAAACCAAAATTAAAATTTATAAGACTCTTATTCTACCTGTATTGCTCTATGCAAGTGAAGCATGGACACTAAACACAGACACTCAGCGTACTCTTGGTGTTTTTGAAAGGAAGATTCTTAGAAATATTTTTGGCCCAGTACAGGAAAGAGGCTGTTGGCGAATCAGATACAACTTTGAATTTAATTTAATATTTTGTCCTAAGACGTTTACATTCTGCAGAAAACAACAGGATTTCTTGAAATAATTCTGTTAAATCTATGTAGTTTATGTTATTAATAATTTCAAGAAGCCAGGAAAATGACAACACAAAAACCTACTCATCTTGAAACATTTTTTGAAATAGATTTTGAACCAGAAATTTGGTTCTTTATTCATGCAACAAGACATGCTCTTATAGGAGGGTATCTAATCAATCTATTAACATAAGATATTGATTGCTGGCTCTATTTATTTTGGTTATAAACCACTAAATAAAAGTAGCCAGGAAAATTACTGATTTTCTTGGGACAAGCAAATTATTGACAGAAAATATTATTTTAAACGAAGTTTTTGTAAATAATACGCTCTGCGTATATTCTAAAAACGCTTACACCGGTTGAGATAAAAAAAAATTGGATATTGAGAAATTTATGGGAAGTTTTGAAGCTAGTTATTACTGGAAACATTGTTTGGGACATACCAAGAAAATTACATTTTGAAGTTCAATTAAATTTTTTAACTATACAAAACAGTCAATACTAGTGCAAAGTCATTTTAAAAAACTAACAGCAATGCAATTTATTAATTTTCTTTTAAAAAAAGTTATTTTAGTATTATGGTATTAGATCTTGGAGCAAGGGACAGTGAATTGTCATATTTCGTGAGGATCACCCATATACCGAAATTTTTATGGCAATAATTGCTGTAAAATCAATTAATCAGTCTTATAAAATACATATTTCTGTAAAAATTATGATATAGTAAAGTAAAAATGGAATTTCTGATGATGCACTAAAGAAGTCCATACTTTATATCTTAATTTGATCCGGAATTTTCTTACAATTGAAAAAAATATATTTTTATTTACAGTACACTTTTCATCATTATAAATATATGTCTTACACAATTTTGATCTTACAAAATGGCGATAATGATAGTTTTAGCATGTTTTGATATCGTAATGATTTTTTCTAGTAAATTTCATTTCAAGAAGCAGCTAATTTTATTTATGGCTGTCACTGTGTTATAAGGTAAACGTATATTCAATAACTTTTTCTTATCTTTGAACTAATATTACGCTGAATGTCATTACTATTAGAACAAAACTGTAGGCCTACATAAATGAAAAAAGCAAATAACAAAAAAACAGAAGCATTCAATTTGCCTTGAGAAGTTATTAGTTTGTCAAGTCGATATAATTTCAGTCATAAAATGGTTCAACAATTTCTAAAAAAAGGATGATTTAGTATTTAAAACGTGAATGAATTAAAGTATTTTAAATAAAGTTTAATCCAATTGCCTTAAAAAGTTATACGCTCAAATAATGACATTTACAATTGCTTTATTCGCATCAATATGAGTCGTATAAGTTTGCAAAAGAAAGTAATTTTTCAAAACTAGTACACAACATAGATGCATGTCGGTGTTTAGCTTTAATACACAAACAAGGTTCGTGCCGTTAGAATATTTCGAGTAAACGAAATGCAGCTAAACATTTACTCAACTCGAGAAAAACGCAAAGCATTTCGGGAAGAGTGCCTTCTGAATCGCCGAGATAAGAAATTTTCGTGAGAACATCACATTAGCATTTGATGCAGGAAAGGCGAATTTCTCCTTTAATACGAATGTTCATAAATTAGTATTTTAACGCTAAATTATGAAGAGTAGAAAAAAAAATAGGTATTCTGCTTCATTTGTAAATTTTAAGTAATGTAAAAGAAGAAATATTTAAGTACTTTCCGCTTAATGAAGCTGTATTAAATGCGAACGGAGTTAGATTAATGTGTGCATTTGTAAACCTAAACAATACTACAACTTGCTCTTTACTTACGGGATTTAAAATAATGGTCCTTCTAGGAATCATTGATACTAATAACTTATTCGGAGTGTGCTATACACATTGGATGTAGAGTGTGTTATTTTGAACAAAGTCGCTGTACAATTTCACTAGATAACTAGCGATTATTAACTAGTTAGTCATATAAAAAGCTTTTTTTAACTTATAGAATACTGTGTTTATATATATACAATGAATAAAATCACCTTGAATAACTTTTGATCCAATGATCGCATCTTCACGTACTAGGATTCAATCTGGGTGTGGACCTCAAATTTGCTAATTATTTAGTACAGATGATATTTTAAGTAACGAAATCAAACACAAAAACGCACTTTTTCTGATTAAACAAACGTACCTTTTTTTCCACGAATTTCTGCCACTTAAAAAAACACAATCTAAGCAATATGGTCCTAATAGTTTGTTCAGGAGATCGGTTCAAAGTTTGGACTCCTTAATATTAATTTTACTTCTTTCGTATTTCGTCATAGCTCGAGAATTTTTTAAGTACATTGAAAAATTCTTGCATACAGTTATAAAACGTGTTTATCCATTGATAATCCAAGCGAAAAATATTTTTTAATAAGTATTTTTTATTTTTTGTTATTTTATTTAATAGTAAGGCATACAAATTTGTACGTCATTTTAAGCCTGTTACTTTATTGGCAAAATACAAAATGTGAAGGCAAATGGTCGAATAGTTCCGCATACTGAGAAAGAGGGTGCATATTTCAAATTCAAGCTCTCAGGAACAATAAGATTGACTTTGTTCAAATTTTGGGTTTTGCCATGTAAAATTATATTCTTTAAAATGATGTTAAAAATTTTATACCTTACAAAGCAGACATTTTTCGACTGTTATTAAATAAAAAATATATAAAATAGTAACTGACTTCAAAACAATATTTTTTGCTTCAAATTATCTTTTGGATTTGTCTATTTGGATAGACAGTGTTTATAACTGTGCGCTGCAAAAACGTTTCAATTCACTTAAAAAGTTTTAGAGAAATGACAAAATACACAAAAAATGAAATTAACATAAGGGGGTTCAAATTTTCGACAGTTCTCCTGACCAAACTATTAGGACCCTATTGCCCAGATTGCGACTAACATCTATATTTTGAGGGTCAGATATCTAAGTCGAAGAAAAGGTATGTTTTTTTTTTATTATTATTATTATTCAGAGAAAGTGCGCTTTTGTGTTTAATTTCACAACTTAAAATATCGTCTGAACTAATTAATTAGGAGGTCATTCCCTCAAACTATTAATGTTTTTAACAGTGCAGAATAAAGCAATATTTAATTATCAAACTTCTTTTTAGTTTTTCTAATAATTTTTTTTTTCAAAATATACTGTCGTATTTTAGGAAAATGTGTGTTTATAGTTACTAAACAGACATTTTTGCGAAAATTTATTACCAATGGCCATAAACTTATGTATAATTTACTGCATTGTATAAATAGTAAAAATAAGAAAAAACCTCAGAATAATAATAGCTATTATCAATCAGCGTTATATTAATTATAAAAACTTACCTCTGAAATCGAGTTTAATTTATAACGCATAAGCACCACACCAACTAATTTAAGTGTTCATGACACTCCAACTTTGAAGACGTTTACATCAGCAGCCAGTTGGGAAAGGTATATGGCTTTTAAATTTTTTATTCACAGCGACGTCAAAAGCCGGGGTTGAGGACGGAATGTACGATACCAAATAGTGCACTGACCTCTCTTTTATGAATCGCCGAGGATGAGAAAGTGAAAGCCCTCTTGTGGTTTTTTTGCGAGAAGGACAACTTCACCTGAGAAGGTCAAACAAGGGTCCGGCCTTCACACCTCATCTGAGGTTCGAAACTTTAGAGAGCGTACCCAACCAAACAGTATACGTTTCACCCAACACGTCGTTCGCAATGTGTAAGCAGAGAAAGTGTTTTGCAAATAAAAGTCAATCTGAGTACGTGATTGGCATTAAGAAATGGGAATGAGGTGTCTGTCTTTGCACGGACATTCAGAGGTATTGGATGAGTCATTGTTTAAGCAAGATGAACTTTTAAAATCATTGCTTTTTTGCGGTTTTCCCCGTCTGACGTCTCGACGGGGAAATATTTCAAAATAGACGATTGCAACTCTTTGCGAGAGAAAAAAAAATTCCTGAATCTCGAAATTTCATTTATTTTATTGAGAAAAAAAAAGAGAGTAAGAGAGGTAAGGAATGCTGCTTGTACGCCAAATCTTTTCACTTTTTCATTAAGTATCAATTCTAATTTCATTTTATGCTCCTAGGAGCTCTGACACTTTAAGATTTTTATGGGAGACGAAAAACTTTCTATATTTTTCACAGGCTAGCTTAGCTTTCCTCAATTACCCTTCTCAAAATCTAAAAAAATGCAAAAATTATAAGCCTTTCCAAAAAATTTTACGGCTTCAGAGATCATTTAATAATTATTTTAACCTACTTAAATGCAAATTACTATAATGTGATTGTGCACACCTGGCCTTGATATGGGTCAGTCATTATGTTTTCGACAGTTTTTCTCTAAGAAATTGTATAAT